AGTTGTTGGACTCCTTGGAAAGGAAATTTGAGGTTCAGGAAGTAAAAAATGCAGTCTTCTCGACGGCGAGATCTAAAGCCCTAGGACCTGATGGTTTTACGATGGCTTTCTATCAAGATTGTTGGGAAATAATTGAGGGTGACTTGATGGAGGTGTTTGATGAGTTCTATGAGAGGGGCAAATTTAACTCAGGTGCAAATGCAACCTTCATTGCTTTGATACCAAAGAAAGTGGATGCAATCTAGCCGAAGGATTTTAGGCCCATAAGTCTGATAGGTAGCATGTACAAAATCATTTCCAAGGTTTTAGCCCTAAGAATAAAATACGTTCTTCCCTCAATGATTTCTCCAAATCAAGGGGCTTTTGTGTTTGGGAGACAAATAATTGATCAAATCCTTATTGCCAATGAATGTGTAGAGGATAGAAGAAGGAAAAAACAAAAGGGATTGGTGTGCAAGTTGGATTTAGAGAAAGCCTATGACATGGTGGATTGGGAGTTTCTGTTGGAGATTTTTAAGTGTAGGGGTTTCGGAGAGAGATGGTGTGAATGGGTGAAGGGCTGCATTACTTCATGTCATTTTTCAATTCTGGTAAATGGAGCAGCAAGAGATTTTTTTTCTGCCAAAAGGGGCCTAAGACAAAGAGATTCTCTATCTCCCTTCCTCTTTACTCTGGTAACTGATGTGTTGAGTGAGTTGATCATAAGGGAAGATGCCAACAATATGATTAGAGGCTGGAGTGTTGGAAGGGATGAAGTAGTGGTTACACATTTACAATTTGCAAATGACATTATTTTGTTTTGTGAAGGGAAAATAGAAGAACTTATGAACCTAAAAAGGATAGTCCATAAATTTGAAAGGATCTCTAACCTAAAGATTAATTGGGGCAAGAGTTGTGTGGCAGGAGTAAATTTAGGGAGTGAAGAGGTGATTCGATTAGCTGGAATATTGGGGTGTGAGGTAGGAGATTGGCCATTACAATATCTGGGACTACCTTTGGGAGGAAATCCTAATATGGATAGTTTTTGGTATCCAATGATTGAGAGATTTACAAAGAGACTTGCGAATTGGAAGAGAAACTACTTTTCTTTGGGAGGTAGGATAACGCTGATAAAGTCAACGTTGGCTAACTTACCAGTGTACTTCCTATCTACCTTTAGGATACCAGTGAAAGTAGCAAACCAGCTAGAGAAGATTATGAGGGACTTCCTTTGGGAACCAGGAGACACCAAAAGAGACCACCTAGTGAAGTGGGAGGTGGTTTCTAGAAGTAGAGATGAAGGGGGACTAGGAATAGGAAATCTTAGGCTAAGAAATACAACATTATTGGGAAATGGTTGTGGAGATTGCCTTTGGAACAGGACAGACTTTGGCATAGAGTGATTATTAGCATTCATGGATTGGCAGACAATGGTTGGGATGCAGGAGTCGACTTTAGGGCTTCCCGGTGCTCTCCCTGGAAAGCTATTCATGGTATTTTACCTTCATTCCTTCCTTATGTCAAATTTGATGCTTGTGCAGGAAATAAGGTCTTGTTTTGGGAAGATGCTTGGGTTGGAGACATTCCCCTTAATGAAAGGTTCCCTTCTATTTATTCACTTTCTGAAAATAAAAGAAAAGTGATCTCTTCAGTTTTTACTGATAACTCTTGGGACTTGGGTTTGAGGAGAGGTCTAAGGGATTTGGAAATGACAATGGTGGATGAATTAATTAACCTTCTAGGGTCAACTTACCTGGATCAATCTTGTGTGGATAGTAGAATTTGGAAACCTTCTCCATCTGGTGTGTTCACTTGCTCTTCCTTTTTTGATATCCTCATTCAATCATCAAACCCTGTAAGGAGCTTTCCTTCAAAGGAGATTTGGTGTCAGCCTGTACCCCCAAAAGTTCGGGCTTTTTGTTGGGAGGTGGTTATCCAAAAAATCAATACTCTATATATGTTGCAAAGAAAAAGGCCAAATGTTTGCCTATCACCCCATGTTTGTAGCCTCTGCTTGGGATCTGGTGAGACGATCACACACCTATTGATTTCTTGTCCATTTGTCTGCTTTATTTGGACTTTGTTCTCTTTTATCTTTGGTTGTAGGTGGACACCTCCCCTAGATGTGGCAAGCCTTTTTGACCCAAGCCTTTTCAGGTAACCGAAGAGGCATGGAAGATTAATGTGGAGAGCCACAAGAGCAGCTATCTTATGGTCAGTTTGGGAAGAAAGGAATAATAGAATCTTTAAAGGCGTGGAGAAATCCAAGGAAGCATTTGTAGAAAGGAAACTTATAATGACACTATTCATTGATTGAAAACTTTGGATTTGTTTAAAGACTTCTCAGCTGAAGACATTTACAGGAATTGGGAAGTGGTGGCTTCTACAACTTCCATGCAGGAATTGTGGTCCCCACCAACACAACAAAGAGTGAAATTGAACTTTGATGGGAGTTCAAGAGGTAACCCGGGCCCTTCAGGTATAGGAGTTTTCAGAGATGAAAATGGCAGAATGGCTTTGTTTTCAGGACCAATAGGAGTGGGGGACTCATTGAGAGCGGAGGTGATGGCCTTGCTTCAAGGTGTAAGATATGCAAAACATTTGGGGTTACACCAAATTGAGATTGAGGGAGACTCTAAATTGTTGATTGAGTGGCTGCAATCTGGTAAGTTGGGAACCTGGATTTATAGACAGTCCACAAGGGAAATCCACAATATAACAAGGGAGATCGGTGCATGCTTCAAATGGACAAGGAGATCAGCTAATGGTTTAGCTGACATGTTGGCTAAACAAGGGACTGTGAGGGAGAGTATGTCCTGGGCAGTTTTGTAAGAAAGGTTACTGGGGGCTCAACACCTACTTAGGGGTTGACAGCTGTACCTAAATCTGGAAAGTTATTTAATGAAGTTACCGTTTCGAATACAAAAAAAAAGATCTGTATCCCATTTTACTTAATATCAAAGAATTGATATTTGTCATCATTTTTCTGTCTTTGGATTTTTAGACAAGAAAATTGTGTTGACAGACATGATGTTGTAGAGTATTGTACTGAGTCCAAGTTGGTTGAGGCCCATTCTAGACTAGACTTTCTTGAGTTAGGCTGTGTCAAGCCCAATCACCCACAGGGCCTAACAATGTTAGTCTGACCTAAATTGTATCCAACAGGTATTATGTCAATCGAATACTTGCATTATGATCCTTCTATTCACAATTCTCAATACTGGGAATAATAGGAAAAGACTTATTCCCTTAAAAACATCTAATGTCTGTCCTTTGCCATTTGGCAATCAAGTTGAAAACTAATATAAGTATTTATATATATTTTGCAAACTATATGACAAAACCATTTTGAAATCACTCGTCAATAGGATTTATTGGGAATCCATTGGAGAAGACATAACAGAGTATTCCCTCCAATGATGTAGTAGATCCTATCACAATGATCATTTTTTTCCTTCTTTTCTTGGATGTATCAACACACCCAGGTATATCTTTCAATTGAGTTTCACTGGTCAACGATGTTAGATACAACCAAGTCAAGAACAAAACAAACATCATTATCAAGTCCGAGGATCATAAGCAACAATACAAATACTCCACAGGTATATCTTTCAATTGAGTTTCACTGGTCAATGATGTTAGATACAACCAAGTCAGGAACAAAACAAACATCATTATCAAGTCCGAGGATCATAAGCAACAATACAAATACTCCACCGACCATGAACTCTAGGAGTCAGCTGAAAGGGATCTAGTTCAATGTTTCATAAAACATCTATGCTCATACCTAGAGTCACAACTCCGATGATAGAGACACATTGTTCCTTCTTACAAGGAAGTATTTGCATGTCAAACTTGTCAGGCTAAACGGCCCTAGGTACAAGGAAGTTTCACATGTCAAATTTGTCAGGCTAAATGGCCCTAGGTCTAGCCACTGGTTGAGAACATTTTAGTTTGCATATTGATTATGTCATGTCTCCAAGTCAATGGTTCAAACCAGTAATTGGCATAACCCTAGAATGCAGATCAAGGGCATTCACAGAAACAAGTACCCATGACCAAGGTTCTAAATATTGATACTGGCATATCGGCCTGTATCGGTGTTTTTTTTTGTGTTTTATTTATTTTTCTCAAAACCGGTTCAGAGCGATCGGTTTAAGTCCTGGCTACCCTCTGAACAATGGCCTGACCCGATACACCCCCTCTAGGGGCGTATTGGGAAGGCCCCGGTTTAATACTTATCGGCTGATACGGGCTGATACGTAACGATATTTTGAACCTTTCCCATGACACATGGTTGTACAAAGGAATATTTTATTCATGATAGAAAAGGTTACAACAATTATTGGATTTCAAAGGCATACACTATGCATCAATCTTCCCTGCTTCACATGTCTACATCTTGATTCACTACCGTTGGGGCTGAATTTCTGGGATAATGTGATAAATTTTGAAGGAAATATGGGCATGTGTAATTTGTCTAGTGCCTCTCCATTCTGGTTCTCACTTGGCTCTAGGTCTTAAGCATGTTGTCTTTGACAATATCATAGGGAGGTCTGTTCCAGTTAGCTTGGACTATCATTGGGTAGTGCTTTTGAGCCTGATGACTTTTAAATTTTCACCATTTGCTCATTCTGCTTTTGATTAGAGCCAATGGCTCTATGCGAAAAGGGAGTTGGACTGATCCTAATCCAAATACTATAATGTTTGTTGAACTTAGAGGTTCAATAAAAATATACATTAGCAGAAAAACATGACTTTTGTTAAATGGGAGAATAAGGTCTTTCAAGAGATTTTTCTTATATCATAATTCATATTAGTACATATACCCGGATCCATAGTTTCTTTCAAAATTGTGGTGTAAAGGATGAGGCTCCTTCATCCATGACAGGGCACTCCCTCTCATTATAGATTATCTTTTATCCTTCCTGTTCTATGCAGTAAAGCAATAAAGCATCTGTTGCTGTACCGCTTGTTGTTTCTAACCACTAATTTATCATTCTTATTTTTCTCATTTTCAGTTAAGCATCTATGGCCTTTCAATGATCATGTTGTTGTGTATGTTCGCCATGTTGGACCTGGAGTGATGGTAGGGCAAGCATGGCAAGAAGGGAAAGTACTGGAGCAAGTGCCTAAAAAATTATGTGGTGAGATTTTAATGGTAAAAAGATGATAAAGTTTTCAGAGGAAGTCCCCGAAAGGAAGCTTTTCCTTATTTAACTCGTTTGTTTGACACATTGTTCAGAGAAGCTGAGTAAAAATCAATTTATGCTGAAATTGCATTAATTAAATGTTCTGTTTGTCACGACTGACTATAGTTTTGTAGTTAAATTGTTCAAATTTGGACTTTTAATATCTGTAAAATAGCTTCATTTGAAAGATTGAATCAAAGGAAAAAAGGAAAGTTCAAATCTAAGGAGATTCATTTGAGAATTTTTATGAAATCTAAAATTACCCAAGAAAGTGTTTCTACAGACAGAACCGTATCCTGGAATTGTAAAATCGGCAGAAGAGATACAGTGAAGAAACACTAGTATTATTTGGGAAATACAAAGGAGTTTTCTTGTTCTTGTTAGTGAGAAGCTACATGCTTACTAATTCTAGTCTTAGGGATGGTACTTGTGATTTGTACAAAGCCACATGATATGATTATCAGCTTTACAGGAATCAGGATGCATTAGAAGTACACATATGTTTGTGTTCAAGAGAATCTGCACTGAAAATCTGGAAACATGCACTCTTCTCTAGGTGCTGACTTCTGACCTGACAGCTTTGGGCAGCAAATATGTTATTTTCATTGAGTGGACTTTTGTATCCAAGACATGCCATATATTTCTCCAGTAATTAGTTTGAAGGTGATGATAGGACATTTCTTTTGACATATAAATCCGTTATTTCATCAGAACATATTTCCTGAATCTTAAGATTTAAATGAACTAGTTTCCGGACCCCATGTGGTGCATGGGTTTTATTTAGAAAATTTGAAGGAGCTTTATAACATTTCTAATTAAATGGTGCTCATCTAAATCAAATTCAAGCATTATTTTTTGGGTTATGTCTAATTTATTAGATCACAATTCAAGTTGCGCTTGAGTGAGGGTGGCTAATTTCCTATGCTCTGGATAAATTTGTATTATTTTTTGTATTTTAATGCTAATTGTTTTTATTAATTTTTAAAATTTATTGGCCTGTAATTATTTTTAGGTAAAATTATAAAAAAAACTCGTATAACAATTCTATAAACCAACCTTGTGTTTTGAAGAAAATGCAAATACCACTTTTTCGATAGCTTTTCAGTAACAAAGATGTTGAAGTTATAAAAACACCCTTTCATTGTTAAGGTGTTACCATACGCAATCTAAAGTTTCAACTTTACCCTCCACTGATTTCTTTTGCCTAACATCTAAACAATAAGAATCTCTACTCTTCTTGGACAAAGTAAGGTATTGGCTGAATTGAAGTAAAAGAAAGAAAATCATTTTTTTATTAAGTTATTTTAGTAATTTGTGTGAATGAAGTTGGTTAAGGGAGAATTTGATATTTAAGAAAAATAATGCATTACATCAACATTTTCTATTTTGAATGCTAATGGAAGGAGAGTATTTGCACATTTTTTCAAAACAATATGGGAGGTTTTTGTTAAGGTTAAAAGTTAAAATATAAGGGAGGTTCATAGGGCTGTTATATTAATTAAACTATATTTAATATTAATAAGCTTTTATTATTTATTATTTTTACTAATCCTTCTTAATTTTTATTATAAAGCTAATAATTGATAGATAATTTTCTAATAGATCTAAATTAATTTTAAATGAATATTACTTTTAATTTATCTTATTACTTTTTATTAATTCATTTATTTTTATTATATTAATAAAAATATTTTTTTCAATAATAATATTGTTAATTTTAATTTTATTTAAGTATTTTAATAAATTATTTTTACTATGGTTAATTAATTTTTAGTATTTTCAAATGAAATATAAATGAATTATAACTTTTATGATGTTTCATTCAATGTTTTCAACTTACCCTTAACTTGAACGGTTAAACCATTCAAATCATCACTTGGCCTTATTTCTAATTCTAGGTTTCTTAAAACCTATTATTTGTCACAATCCATTGATTTGGTCAAAGTAAAACTCTGTTTGACCTAATTGAACCATTTACCCTTTTGACCTTAGTCATCGGATCATAGGTTAAAATATACAATGTATTGAAAACCTTTTGAGGACTTAACTTTGTGCTCATTTGTCTAATTTTGGGGTGATCTTTATTTTTATTTTGGTAACTTTTCATGGTCTTTGCAACTCCATTATACAAAAAAAAATATTTTATGGCCTTTAATTTCAATTTTTGGCTCTTAAATTTATAAATAAATTTAAAACTAAAATAAAAAGTACAAATTAGACCTAAAATTACATACATACACACAAAATGTAATTATACTATATTATATTATACATATACAAATGGATGATGTGTCATGGTTTGACTCGCCTAACCCAAACATTTGACCGTTGACACATAAGCTAGAGGCAAAAACTATTCGTCCCCTAAGTCTTTATAAAACACTGGTTTTATTTGTTGAATAAATTAAATAATATTTATTGTGAAATGCAAGTTACTTGAATTAACTTAAAAATTAATTATCTTTTAAATGAAAATAGATTATTTAACCAAATAATATATAATTGAATATCTCTGTTTCAATATAAGTATTTTTATTAATAATTACAATTTAATATAAATATATTTAGTGTATATAAAATTATAGTTAAATTGAAATATATATATAGATATAAAAATTAAATGAATTTTAGGCAATTTAATAGAGTAAAGAAGGGAGAGAATTAGTGGCATGAGTTATTGAACTAGAGAGTTGATGATATATATATAGCTAGTACACGAAAGTGTATACCATGATTTTTCTGTCTATCAATAACTGCATGCATTGCACGGTGGATGTGAAGAAGTAGGCCATTATCTCGGCAATAATGAGCCAAGCTAGTATTTGCAGTGAATCCCCCCGTTAAGTAGTCGTGCATTAHGATAGGAACTCCCAATTCTCTGGCAAATACAGCCCTTTTGATCATTTCTTCACATGTACCTGCAGTAGCATTCAAGTAATGTCCTTTGATTTCGCCTGTTTCGGCTTGTGCTTTGTAAATTGCTTCGGTTGATCGAGTATGATACTAATAGATCTTTACCTCTTATTATAGTGTGTGCTTCCGGAGGAGCGCGCATGTTTGAGCTTGATGCAAATGGCTAAAATATCTTCCGCCTCATATAATTATCAATCAAATAAAAAGTTATTCTATGTATCAATCCTTACATCTCCTACAACMKGTGGGGTGACAGCTAGTTTTGGTATGTTGGGAGATATCATTATTGCCGAACCCAACGCCTACATTGCATTTGCGGGTAAAAGAGTAGTTGAACAAACATTAAAGAATACAAT